TTTTTACTTAATTAGTACTACTGTTCATAAATTAAAAGAGAAGAGTAATTAAAAAACTTTAAATGAAATGCAATAATAACTGTGCCTTTATACACGGATATAAAAAAGAGATAAATAGCACACTAATGGCAAAGTACTACCTATTGAACTGGAGAAAATGAATTGTAAAAAAATTAATTGGCCTTTGTTCCAAGAATTGAATGACGGAAGGCCCAAAAAAGCTACAAAATATGTCTCTTTTAATTTTAATTCTTTTTGACAGTTTATATAATAGCATATATAACACCTATATTTTGTACAATTAAAAAGGGTAACAAAATAAAACACGATCAAAATAAACATGATTAAAATAACACACACACACAATTAAGTGGTCAATATTCTCCTGGGGTATCTCGCTCTATGACATAATTAACTGTCAAACTATGGATTTCGTGTTTCACTACGTCGTCTTCTGACCCTGGTTCAGCCATCTTCTTCTTCTTCAAGTGCCCTGTCCATTGCGAACGTTGGCAATTTTGATCTTGTTTGCGACGCTTCTGAATAGTTCGACCGATGTGAGCCCGAACCACTTCCGCAGATTTTGGAGCCACGAGTGTCTTCTCCTGCCTGGCCCTCGCTTACTGTTTATTTTTGCCTGGACAATCAATTGTAGCAGACGGTACTTATCGTGTCTCAATATGTGGCCTAGATATTCAAGCTTTCTTTGTTTAATTGTATTCACGATTTCTTTCTCCTTTCTGATTCTTTGGAGTACCTCTATGTTGGTGACATGTTCGGTCCAGGATATACGAAAAATGCGTCGGTACACCCACATTTCGATTGCTTCTAGTTTTCTCGTTAGCGTCTCCGTCAGCGTCCAGGCCTCCACGCCATACAGCAAGATCGGAAAAATGTAGCATTTAACTATACGTAGTTTTAGGGGAAGAGACAAATCCTTGCTTATGAGGAGCTTTTTCATATTGCTAAATGCTGCTCTAGCTTGTTCTATTCTTGCCTTAATTTCTATGGTCTGTTTCCATTTTGCATTTACGTTGGTGCCAAGGTAGACATAAGATTCTACATGGTCAATTAATATGTTACTTATCCATAATTGTCGAGCAGGTTGTTGCTTTTTGCTTATCAGCATCCACTTTGTCTTCTTGAAGTTGAGGCTCAGACCGTATTCCTCACTAACTGAATAAAGTCTTTCCATTACTTGTTGTAATTCGTCTATGGTACTGGCAAGGATCACCGTGTCGTCGGCATATCTTATATTGTTCGTTAACTCGCCGTTTATTTTTATGCCCTCATTTGCATTTTCCATACATTTGTTAAATATTTCCTCGGAATACATATTGAATAGAAGTGGGGATAATATACACCCCTGACGGACACCTCTTTTGATCTGCACACTTTCAGTGAGTTCGTTGCCAATTTTTGCTCTTGCTGTTTGACCCCAGTATAGGTTTGCTACAATTCGAATGTCCTTGCCGTCAATACCTGTCTTTCGCAGAATACCTATCAATTGTTCATGATTGACATTGTCAAATGCTTTTCTAAAATCTACAAAGCACAAATACACGTCCTTATCAACGTCTCTACACCGCTGTATAAGCACCCGGATAGCGAAAATTGCTTCTCTAGTTCCAAGTGCTTTCCGAAAACCAAACTGCGATCTATCAATATTTGACTCACATTTATCATATATTCTTCTATGAATGATCTTAGTAAACGCTTTAGTGACATGATTTATCAAGCTTATAAGCCGGTAGTCATCATAAATCTGGGCATTTGGTTTCTTCGGGATTGTAATAAATGTTGACTGTAGCCAGTTTTCCGGGATTTTACCGGGATTATATATGTTGTTAAAAAGTACAACTAGATTATCAAGGAACTGTTTGTCTGATTTACATAGGATATTTAATATTTCGCAGGGTACATTGTCCGGACCTGCTGACTTATTGTTTTTTAGTGCTGCAATGGCATCTTCTATCTCTGATTTAAGGATTGAAGGTCCTGTTTCTCCTTCTCCATCATAAGTCCTGTCAGATGCAAATAATTTTTCTATGTATGATTTCCATGTTTTTAAGATCGTTGATGGCTCCGAGATAAGATTTCCATCGCTATCTTTTATGCTGTTGGGTGACTTGAATTGAATTTCCTCTTGTTTGTCATCGATTTTATTTTTTTGTACATATTGTAACTGTCGTATTTTCGTTCGTATTGTTCTATTTCCCTGCATTCGTTGGAAAACCATTTTTCTTTAGCTTCTCGAATTTTCGTTCTTATGGTTTTGTGGATCTGCTGGTTTTTTTGCATGATGGCTCAGCCATCATGCTCCCTAAACAGAATCGAGATTCACCACTTAAGATAACCCCATTCCATTCCTGGTCCCAAGTTAGTTGTTATATGCATCATTTAAGACGATTACATCGATGTTAAGGGTAAGGGTGTCACAATGCACATCTTCCGTGTTCTGCAAAGGATCGATTTTCAATAGACCTGGTAGTGGAGAAGCGGTCTTTTAGACCCATTAACCTTGGCGACGATCTTGACGCTCTGTTGTGATTTGGAGCAGGCCTGTGCCCTTCGATCTTCGAGACCGTCTTCTTGACGCAATCCCGATAACATATTAACACTGTATCTAATCTTCTGTGAACCTTATTCGCAATTTCCCGAAAAGAAAGTCCGGCTTCTCTTAGGCCAGCTATCCGCCGCCTATCAAACTCGCTCAATTGATACATGTAAATGTTCATGTTAGCTGTAACTATATCATTTGATAGATGCACGAAAAATATATGAAACACTACTAAATAAGTTAAAAACGAGTTGCTGATTGATTTTATTTGTACTGTTAGTCGTTTGATAGCCCTAACAATATTCTTAGAAGTTGTTCACTTCTTTTCTTAAATATAGATCGGAGATAGGAACTGTTTTGAGTACTTTGAACGACCTCGTACATTGTAAAAGAGGCCCCAATTATTAAATTGTAACACAAAAGGCATCTTGTTTTTATCTCGTATCAAATTTTAATCACAAATCGACGACGTCACCCTATTAATTGTTAATAAAAATAAAAAGAATCTAGGTCACATGATTAAGATTTTATTTTGCTGTTAACTATGTGGACTGCATTCTTTAAAATCATTAACAGACTATTGAATTAATTATGTTAATTATGAGAGGTCATTGACAGTTATCGCTACTAAATTATTAATTATCATCTCAGCGACCAGAGAACTTACTTTATTACTGACAAACGTGCATCTTCACAAAATGAAACGTAAATATTGAAATATTGAGGTTATTGTCATATTTTTTTTCATTATGCGTCTATCTTTCTATTATTCATTTTTATGCTTCCTAGAGTTGTTCGACAGAAGCAATATTGAGAAAGGATTTTAGTCCAGTCCAGTTTTAGTCCCTACTTACTTATAGCAATATAAATGTTACTTTTAGCGTTGATTGGGTTGATTGAATAACCCACCACGGAGTCGATGAGTTTCAAAAGTTGGTAACCCTGCTAAAGAAAGTTTTTGTGTGTAATCTGGCCTTCTTCGTTTGAAAGATAGTGTCCAATATCAAATCTTCAGAATTCATATCCGAAATTGGACAGTATAATTTTATCACCCAGTAGACCGAATGAATTTATTTGTTATTAAATACACACACGTAGTTAATTAGGTTACATTAGATTTGGTGAATTATCAACAATAAAATTTGGACATCAGTCGAAAGTGCTGACGAAAGTTAAACAATTTACACACAACTTAGATACATATGTCTTTAGGTCCGCGAATATATTGACCCAATTAAAACTTATATAAAACTAAAATCTCTTGCCTGAAACATTCAATCAATATTTACTCAACAAACGTGATAGTCTTCAACGCTCAACTGCAACAGTCTCTACTCAAAGTAATCCCGGGTCAACACCCATAGTGTACGTCTCGTCAATAAACTCTGCTACTATTATTTTGTGTTTCCATTACAACTGAACGAACAGCTTCACTGAGCAAACGAAGGGGAATTTGTTCAGATAGTCTGGTGGCTTTCTTTTGGACATTTTCGAGAAGAGTTCTATCGCGCACTAATTCTGGGCACCAAACTGTTCCACAGTACTCCAGTAGCGGTCAGACATAAGTTTTATCGCTTTTAGTCTATATTATTTGCTTTTAGGTAAAAATGGTCACTTGAGTGTTACGTAACGTTTAGGTGGGGTTGAGGGGGAGTCTTGTAAAACTTTACGGTGCGTTACATAGACGGGATTGGGGTCCAAAATTTTCAAAAATTGCATTACGTAATACTACAACGCCCCTTCACTTGGATGTCAGGTTTAGAGATATTTTGCTCATCTTCAGGTCCAGAGAAGGCTATTTAACAGCTAAAAAATTACAGTTGTTATAAATTATGCTTTTAAGTGTGTTATGGCTCTTCAATCGACTCAATATTTGTACACTTCTATTCTTCTTCTTCAGGTGCCATCTCCGCTACGGAGGTTGGCAATCATCATAGCTATTTTAATTTTGCAGTAGCTCTAAATAGTTATTTTGAGCTGCATCCAAACCATTCTCTCAGGTTCTTAAGCCATGAAATTCGTCCTATTCCGATGCTTCTTCTGACATCTATCTTTCCTTGCATTATGAGTCGCAGGATGCCATACTTCTCGCCCCGCATCATATGTCCGAGATACTGTAGCTTTCTTTCTTTAATTGTAAGTTCAACTTCCTTCTCTTTACCTATTCTTCTCAGTACTTCGTTGTTCGTAACTCTATCTACCCAGGAAACCCTCTTTATTCTTCTATAGGTCCACATTATATGTGTTGGTGTAGTTTATAATACCATCTTGTGCATTGATAAACTGATGCACATTTATGGACACCTCAAGAATTTTATCATGCTTTACAATATCAATAATCTTTGAAAAGGTATAAAAATCAAAATATATAAATCAAAAGAGTTGTATTCAAGTTTTTTTTTAATTCTACATGGTTATTAAAATCGATTCTTACTTACAGGGACGAAAAATACAGATGTCACGGAAAGAGCGGCATCAATGAAAGGACAACAATAAGAAGAAAAGAAAACTCAAAATCCCATTTGATGTGTTGCCACCACGACATGTGCAATCACATAGAAAGCCCTCAAACGTTAAAGATCATCAATAACACATTATTAGGTAATATTTTTTTATATATACTTTCTTTAGCATGTATTTTCTTCCTTCGTATTCCTTCGTAACACTTTCATATTTTTTCTCTCTTCTATTTCCGACAAGCAAGACAAGCGTTACAAAATAATCGGTATTTGGCATCCAGGTTCTCATACTGAGATGTCAAGATGTAAATGTTGATGTATATGCCCGCTTTGTTGACTACGAGTAAGCATTTGACACTGTTAAATACGAGAAGTTAATTGCTGTTTTAAATGACATTAGAATTAAAGGTCAGTCGTGTGAAGAAGTTCCTATTATGAAAGGAGTTCGACAGGTACGTGTGCTCTCTCTCTTCCTTTAATTTGCATGCAGAAAATATTTTCGGAGAAGCTGTGGAAGACAAAACAGAAGATATAATTGTCAACAAAGTAGTCATCAACCACTTAAGATATGCTGATGACACAGTTCTGCTTGCAACGAACAAATATGGTTTACAAATACTTCTATCAGTGCTAACAGGCCATAGTAAACAAATGGGTTTCAAACTTAAAATAAAAGAAAACCAAGTGGATAGTCATCAGCAAAAACAAAAATATAATTAACAATCTACATGACATCAGGATAGATGGAGAAATAGTGGTGAGAGAACATTGATACAAATCTTTTGGCTTTTGGGTGAAGGACTAATGGAACTTATCTCAGGAAATCAAAAGCAGAATAGGCATAACATCATTGAAGAAGATGCAAAAGGTATTAACCAACAGAGCTCTAAGAATTTGCTTAAGAAGCGGTTATTACGTTGTTGTTTGCAATGGAAGCATGGACTCTCACGTATGAGACATCTTCTTCTTCGTTGGGTACCGTCTTCAATGAAGGTTGGCGATAACCTCAGCAAAATCATTTCTGTCCCTGGCTTTTCTTATTAAAGATTGAGAATCCAAACCAGTCCACTCACGAATGTTCTTCAACCAGGACGCCTGCTGTCTACCAGGACCACGTTTTCCTTCTACCTTCCCCTCTATAAGAAGCTGCAGTAGCTGGTATTTCTCATTTCTGTATATGTGTCCCAAATATGAAGTTTTCCGTGTTTTCATCATTTTTAAGAGTTCTCTGTCGGTACCCATCTTGTGTAGGACCTGCTCGTTGCTCATATAAGTCCAGTGGACTTTCAGCATCCTTCGAAATAACCACATTTCAAAACTTTCCAAACGCCTGAGTGAGTTGATTTTGAAGGTCCAGGCCTCCATTCCATATAGTAAGGTGCTGTAAACGTAACATTTCAGCATTCGGTATCGGATTTTGAGATTGAGTGTTTGGGACGTAAACATTTGTTTCATTTTTAAAAAGACATTTCTTGCTTGTTCAATTCGCGATTTTATTTCTATATCTGAATCTATATCTTTCGTTATCCAGCACCCTAGATATCGAAATTTCTCGACATTTTCGATAATGTTACCATTCACGTTTAAAGCCATGGGTGGATGCATGGATGTTTTGGAGACAATCATTGTTTTTGTTTTCTTGACGTTAATGCTGAGGCCGTATTGTTCTCCGATCGATCTAACGCGATCTAAGAGTGTCTGGAGATCCTGTGCACTCTCTGCAATTAGGACCGTGTCGTCGGCGTATCGTACATTATTTGGAACTCTGCCGTTAATTTTAACACCTTCTCTTGATTGCTCTAGTGCTCGTGCAAAGATTTCTTCCGAATATATATTGAAAAGTAGTGGTGACAATACACACTCCTGTCGTACACCTCGCTTGATATTGAATATTTCTGTGTCACCGGCTTCTGTTCTAACTGCTGCAGTTTGGTTAAAATACAGCGTTTGGATAATTTTAAAATCGTTCTCGTCTAGTCCCTTTTTGTGAAGGCAATCCATCAGCTTATCATGTTTTACTTTGTCGAAGGCCTTTTGATAGTCAATAAAACATAAAAAGAGATCCTTTTTTTGGTCTCGACATTTTTGCAGCAGTATAATAAAACTGGTTAATGCTTCCCGTGTCCCAAATCCATTTCGGAAGCCAAATTGTTCATCACTGATATCCTGTTCACATTTCTTATAAATGCGTTGGTGAATAATTTAACCAGTCTTGTGGAATTTCACCGCTTGTATATATTTGATTAAATAATTTGACGATTATATTTAAATGTTTCTCTTCCAGTAGCTTTATGACTTCCGTATGTATGTCATCGGGGCCAGGGGCTTTCCCATTTTTGCGTTTTTGATTGCTCTCTCTACTTCTTGTTTTAATATAGGAGGACTGGTTTCATGGTGAGACATGAGATATGAGACATGAAATGTGTAAAAGAGTTAAGTCTTTCGAGATGTAGGCGTAACTCCCAATGATGAAGATATCGTGGATGGACAGAGTCACAAATAAAACAGTTTTACAGCATCTAAACAAAGAAAGAGAGGTTCTGAATGCCCAAAAAAAGGAGAAAATTTACTTTATACCTACTTTGGACACATAATGAAAAATCCTAAAGAAGAATTACTAAATCTAGAAACGTGGTTCTAGGCAAGCAAGAACATTCTGTTTTTAACCAAATAGTTGTGGTTAATCCCCATTTGATAATAATTACTGTGATCATAAAATGTTTTAAATATTTTCAATTGTACTCACTTTTTTCTCAATATATCATATTTTTTTATTCTAGATGATCAGTCAGTAGAAGAAACAGAAAGCAAATATCCGCAGAGACAAGAGCCTGTTTTATATTCCGATTCAGAAGTATGGTTTAGAGCAGCTACCATAGCTGTTCCCATATGTGGAGCCGTCATTTTATTTGTTCTTATCGCTTTAGCTGTTAAAATCCTAAAAAGCGAACATCAAAATTCTGTGATTAACAAATTAGGGTAAGTAGTTTTGTTCAGTTCTAAAACCTTTGTGTTATATTTTTTTGGGTCTACAACTACCGTTGCATATCATCAATGACACAACCATGTTAGAATGCTCGTTATAATGTCTCTGAAATTATTTGTCTAAATAATAAAATTCATTTAGAATGATTACTTTGAATTTGAGATGTTAATATTGAATTTTATTAGTTACTTTAAGGAAATATTAAGTGAAATAATATCTCAGCTCTCCGCATTGCATAGAACAACTGCAAGTTGCCTGCATTTGGCGCAACTCAACGACTGATTATAATTTTTTTTTTATAAAATATGCTTTTTTAGAGATAATAGAGCTTACCTTCTTCATATGTACAATAAAAATTAATACGGAAAATTTTATGGGTCAGTAGATTTTAAAATTTAAGTTTATTTAGAATTGTTTCATCAAATTTATAATTATTAAAATGGATTCAACAAATGTAAAACTTTATTTTTAACTTTATTGCAGAGAAAATTTTAAAAAACAGTATATAAAGATAAGAAGAATATCCTAAATTGTATTCGAACCTTTAAGTACCCAATTTATTTTGACTTATCGTCATTCTCTCATCGACGAAATCTGTTTAATGTAAAGGTTTTGATTTAATTGATATAAATGCCATGCTGGCGCGTGTGCAAATACTCGTCGGACCGAGCACATTTAACAAAACCGTTTGCTCATATTATGATTGTTCTTTAAAGTAGTTTATTTAATTTGTGTGCCATTAGGCAGAGACACCTTAGTAGTTTTATTAAGAAATCACTAAAACATATTTTATGAGATATTTTTTTATATTTTAGGCCAGCTTACTATGTTCAACCCATTCAACAAAAGAACGCCAAAGATAAAGGCAACCAAGAAAATTTCCATCTAACTTACGACAATCTTCTTCGAAAAGATTATATTGCACCACCGCACCATAACTTCTATTGTGCACACGCCGAAGAGTATAAGGGACAGTTTCGAGAACCTTTAATTCAAAGCGAGTGTAGCACTAGTGAAGATAAAAATATTAACCATACAAGGTAAATATATATATTTCATATAGCTTCAAAATTACCCATACATCGAATCACAGCTTTCTCTGAGTCTTCGGTTTCCAATCTCTTCCAGTTTTATTCTCGTATTTATGTTCTTGCTCATAACTTTTCATACTCATATACATATATCCAATTATTGCTTTATGGCGGCATATGAAACTTAAACGAAGTCAGTCTTAAATGGTGGTTCTGATGTTGGTAATAGCTTGGATATTTAGGCTTAAACACTGCCCTTACGAGACTATAGTGGAAGAGCTGTTTTGTTCTAGTCTGGAATAACTATCGAACTGCTGAATTGCCCATCGAGATGCTTTAATTGTCCTGACTAATTCTGATAGGAGGTTAGAAAAAAATACATAGTAATATATATGTACATATATGAAGCTTTCATTATCTATAATATAAAGAAATTGAGTGTGCTTTCATATTTGAGAAGAAAAAAGGTTTGATTTTGTATCTTGTTTCAAACTATACGTTGGAACAGAAAATATTGAACTTTGATGGTACACAAGGCAAATATCGAACACAGTAGTTAATCAAATCTTGCCCAAGTACTTTCGATCACAAGATCATCCTCAGGGGCATTTCGTCAGTTGTGGCCTATCCAGCAGTAACAGAATGTCATAAATGTAAATTGGGACATAACAAATACACTAAACAAAGACAAACAAACACTTTAAAATTTACGAAATGGAGAAGCTACATTTTATATAGAAGCCGGAGACAGAATCATTCTGTATCATTCAGTATCATTCGGTCTCCGGCTTCTATATAAAATATAGCTTCTCCATTTCGTAAATTTTAAAGTGTTTGTTTGTCTTTGTTTAGTGTATTTGTTATGTCCCAATTTACATGTATGACATTCTGTTACTGCTGGATAGGCCACAACTGACGAAATGCCCCTGAGGATGATCTTGTGATCGAAAGTACTTGGGCAAGATTTGATTAACTACTGTGTTCGATATTTGCCTTGTGTACCATCAAAGTTCATTTATTCGAACATTCAACCTTATATTGAGAAAATATTGAATTGTTTTAATGAATAAAGGAGCCATGTTGAGCCCATCAGTTTATGTAGACGAGTCCTAGAGTTTAAAATAAAGCAAATATGGTTAAGATTTCCGTAAATGGCTGTCAGACAAAGTAATTGTTCTCCAAGATGTTTTGGATGATTTTGTTGACTTTATCTGATGACGATGGTTATGGATGTAAGAAAAATTGCCGATAATGCCGCAATAGACTAGCTCCAAATTGGATAAGTGGCTGACAAACACACTTTATCATGTTCATGTTTTAACATCGGGCCATTTTGTTTAAGTAAATAGACCAAAGAGGTACATTCGAATTACCGCCTTTTACCAAGTTATTCTTCCATAATATAAGTTTTTTAATTTGAATTCTTCAACGTCATTAAATGGCTAAAATTGTTCGCATTTTTACCTTGAAGGGAATATTTAACTTTTTCAAAAACGGTTTAATACCCTCTTGCTTGATTTTTTCTGGAATATTGTCTTTCTGGGATACCGCAAATGGTCCTGTTCCAATCAAAGAAGTAGCAGCTCCTTTTTAAAATAAGATTATGACCAATCTCGTTACCAATTCCTTTATACTATGCAATCCATAACAAATTTGTTTCGTTGTGCTTCACCAGTTGCTTAAGGGACTATCTGCATTTCCAAACAAGTTGTGATATTGACTATCAAATTGAGGCGCTTTTTTAGGCACCATTGGGCACAAATCTATTGCTAATCCTTTAGTCTAAAATAATAGTATTTTCGGGGGTACTGCTAGTATATTATCTATATATTAGGACTAATTAATCCTCATGTGTTTTTAACCGGCACCTCTTGCGATTTAAATGGTGATACATTTGTTAGAAACCATACTTCCAATGAAACAAAGTTTTTAGATATAGTATTAGACATATTATCATAATATAATACTTGTTTTTTTTGTCGGTCAGATAGCTCAGCGGGCTGTACGGCTGCCTCTCATTCGCTTCACTGTCGAATGGTTCAGTGGATGTGGGTTCGAGCCCCAGCTCGGTGTACAGAAAACAAAAAGTCTAACGCAGTAGTTTAAAATTCTAGATGAATCTGCGGCTTAGACTAGGATATGCTGGGATCTGATCGGCCTATGGTGGAGCAGTACGGCAAGAGATAAGGGCTTGCGGCTCGGTGATACTCCTCCATAGATCCCTACCGGACGGGCGTAACGTCTAAAAAACCGGATATATATATATAATATATATATATATATATATATATATATATATATATATATATATATATATATATATATATATATAGTACTTGTTTTCACTGCCATATCACTTCTTCTTAAAACAAACTCATGTTAACTAAAAAACACAAAAATAATGCTTTGTTTTTTTATTTTAGGTATAATCTCGTGAATTACGAAGATTCCGGCAAATCCATAATTCTGGAAATAGAGAAAGAAAACGTTCCTCGTTCTTAAATCAGCTGAGATTTTAATTCAGGCATAAAGGAATTTTCTACGGAAAATATATTCTTAACATAGATTCTTATGTTGTCTTGAGAAAGACTGACGATTTTTAAATCACTGTACTTATATATAAGTTTTCTATCGAAGACATAATTGCATTTCAACCGATTTAACGAATCATATTTTAGTTTTAATGTTTTAAGTAATTGTTGAATTATTGTGATAATATACTAATCGATATATTTGGCAGGTCTATAATGATTTGCTTATTAGTAGAATCAAAGACTTATTCCATAGTGTGCAAGCCTAAATGGAATCACACGGTTATTCCGTTTGTTTCATTTGGTTTACTTTTGGATTTAACTTAACTGCTAGCACGTATGATATAAAGACAAATGAAAAATCTAGATGATTTCTTCTAATTATACTATTTTATTAATTTCTTACGAATGTATGATTCGTTAAATGTAAGGCTGTGAAAATAATGTGTAATACAAGGGTTTCTGTATTGTCATAGGTTTCTATTGTAAAAGGCTACAAATCGTCCGAACTATAAAAACTATAAGGCTGTAGCACAGAATAATAAACAAACAGAATACCCACTCTCCACGGAAAATTAAGTACGCGCATCTCCTCCGCGCAGACGTTCCGCCATGTTTTAGGAGGATTTTAAAGGGAACCAGTGTTGTTTATGTGGTGTGCATGGAAAAATTAACCAGGTTTATTTGACTTACGGCAATCATAGACATACTATACAATTATATTAACATTGTTAAATATAATAACACAAATATAATATAATTAAACATAAATATAAACAATTACATAACCACACAAATCATATGTCTGTGTCCTCCTAAAACATGGCGCGCGTGCTGAAAAACTTCAAAGGCGGCATCTGAGAGTGGCCCTTCTGATTGTTTATTATTCTGTGGCTGTAGTGTTTTATAAGCTACACTAGCGGAACAAAGATTTTTTTGAGTAGATTCTACATCGATGTTTGTCGATTTGGGATAAGGATTGGGCTCCTACTGTCAAGCCTATTTTGAGACTCGATATTGCTTTTAAAGGTATATGATACCCTTCGATATTGCCCCGTTCCTGCTGGTTTCGCCCTTTTGCTGACAACTGTTCAGTATTTCCCCTACATCTACGATAAGTATGGCCTGTAAATTAATCGAGTTCCATAGTTTTAGATGAGTTAGGCTGCTTGGTTTCTTCCTCCTCTATCTTTGTTTCACGAAGTCGTGCTCTTCTCACAGAATTAGCGACCGTGAAATAGCATGAGGTGGTTATCCACTAGGACAAGTTGTCACGGCTCTAGGATGTTGTTTACAAGTAAATGTGTTTCATAAGTATCTCTCACGTGACTTCTAATGCTGAATCCGAATTTATCATCAGTTTTTCTCCATCTATTACTAAATTTGATTTCTTAAACAAGGAAAGACTGTCTTTCCTTGTTCAATGTGGCCTGTGAAGATGGCACTTCCTGTCTAACAATATTTTTGCCCCCCATTACCTTTACATTCTCTCTTTTGTCTTTTTGCTCGATGTAAGTATCCCAGGGTGTTGTGAGTGCTCCACCGCCCCTTTACGACGTCAACCTAAGTGTATTCACTGTGTATCTTTACATGTTGCTTGCTCATTGTAATAATTTATGTTTACCACAAAAAGACATGTTCTAATTTTGACACCCAACAAAGTTCTAAAATATGGAATGCCTATGATAACAGAAACTCTTTATTTTTCAGAACTTAACCATATCAACTTTGGTTTTTTTACATATTATTTAGACACCGTATGTTAATTTCGTTTTCTACGTATTATTTAGATTCCGTATAATGTCAATATTATTTGTATTTAGCCATTGAGATCGTAATATTTATATTTATTAACGCCAATTGAATGAAAATTGTATAAGGAGATCTGTATAACTGTCAATTATTCATCCATGGAAATTAATTTTGACATTTGACAGATTGTCTTATATTCATCTAAATTTAAACGAATATTTAAACAAGTCTTAAATATCTGGGACACACATTATCATTTTCTGCTTCAAATGTTAAAAAATTGTCAATAACGTTTTGTGTACCTCACTGCATAGTGTTTACATTGAGTGGTGACGTGACATGCACATGATTGTTGTCGAGGATAAAATTTGCGTTCCTCGTCTAAAACAATATTCATACAGTTAGTTTAAATTTGAATTAAGAAATTATAACTTTTGACAATTTATATATTAAAAGATTAATTCTTCAACAATGTGGTAACAATTCCGCTGATACTTTATTGCCGTGAAAGATTATAATTTTAATATAAATCTTAAACTGCTTTGTATGAATCTTTTAATTTTATTAAATGTTTCTGCGTTTAATATTCTAGTTTTTTTGGCAGATTTTATAGTTAGTTATAGTGACAGTTGAAGGTATATTGACAAGATGAACTAAAACATTGACATTACGATCATGACCTACAACAACCATTGAAATAACCCCCTCTGTGGCTCAGTGGTAAGAGCGCCTGCCTTTAAATCTAAAGGTCGTGAGTTCGAATCCCACCTGGGTGGATATTTTCGTTTATTAAAAAAAAAAAATTAATAAATGAAAATAATTTCTATCCTTGTGTGATCGGTACACACCGGAGGGACCGCAGACGTTCGGATACAATTAGCGTCTCTTAGCAAAGACAATGACGTCGACTTTGCTAAGTATCAAGACAATTACTCTACACACACACACACACTACACCTCAAATTGTAAGATTGGCGAATGGATTTAGTGTCCGCAGTCATTTAAACACAAACAAACAACAACCATTGAAATATAAATCCTAGTATCAGTGATCTGCTAAATTTGTTGTTTGTTTTTCGATTTGTCCAGCTTTTTGTTCCAAATAATGAATAGGACCCCAAGGAAAAATGACTTGATTAGATAATTGTTTTTAATGTATCTATATCGTTATACGCGAAAGTAGTGAACGAGAATTAATTAAATATTCTAATGAATTGAGATTTTTAGTATGCATTTTTATATATTGACTTACAATGTTTTTAGAAAGTGCTAGTGAATATAAATTCCCCAGTTGCTATTTAAATAAAGAGATTTATTAGCAAACTTTAAAAGTTAATATAATTTATTCATTGACAATATTTAGAAATACCTACTACTGTACTGAAATAACGTTTTTTGTAGTTTGATAAGAAAATATTTTAAAAATATTTCATGAATAGAAGTAATAAAATTCAACTGTAAATAATTAACCCCATGAATAGAAATGTGATTAAATATACAGTGTGTTCCAAAAAGGTGTATAAAAATTGACAGTTTACATTTAATGTTTTTAGGTGAGACATGTGAAATGATGTATTTTAGACCCGAGTTACCGGACGTCTCTGACTGCCGAAATTATCGTAAAATCTGTATTCATTCAGTGGCGTATCTGCGAGGTGCTTAAGTATTAGTGTAATCTACTATTCAGACATACTTGCGCACGCCATTATTTCTTTGTCATAGATTTCTACTGCTAAAACAGTTCCTTTGAAATCTGAAGAAACTTCACCATGTTTTACTGCTGTATTTCGCCATCTTGTACTTTTTTAAGACCTTTTCTCTATTTGGATTGCCGAATATAGGCCTCTCGTTTTATGTTCTTTGAGTGAGATACCCAGCATCTGTCGTTCCATAGCTCTCTGAGTTTTTCTGATCTTCTCCATGTTTATTTTAGTGAATGTCCAGGTTTGAGCTCCATATGTAAGTACAGGTAGGATACAGGAATTAAACACCTTGATTCGCAGTCTTTGAGGTATATTTTTATTTTTAAGTACGTATGAGAGTTTTCCAAATGCTGCCCATCCCATTTCTACACGTCTGTTTATTTCGGTAGTCTGATTTTCTTTGCTTACCTTGACATAATGCTGTACTTTAATGATCAATTAATCAATCAATCAGTTTATAACGTTCTACGCCGTCTTCTGATTTCCAGTCTCCATTTATCCCGGTCGTTCTAAAGGTCGTACTCCCCTCTCCCTTAAGTCTTCATTGATTACTTCTCTCCAACTTAATCTTGGTCTACCTTGCTTTCTTCTTCCATACGGTGTCCAGTTCAATACTCACTTTGGTATTCTGTGTTCATCCATTCTTTGGACGTGTCCATACCATCTTAGTTGATTTATTCTGATGTTCTTTGTTATATTGTGCTTAACACCCATAATTTCTCGTATTTTTTCATATCTAACTCTGTCTGATCTTGATTTTCCAGCCGTTATTCTCCAGAAGCCCATTTCTGTTGCTTCTAATGCTTTTAAGTTTTTTTCCTTTCAGTGGCCATACCTCACTTTCATATGCAACAATGCATTTTTTAATTTTGTGTTATAGTTTTTATGATTGTTTTCTTTGGAGATTGTTTTGTCCCACAGTACTCTGTTTAATTGCCTAATGGCTTGTCTTCCCAGGTTATTTCTATGTTTAATTTCTTCTTCTGATTCGTCATCGTTGGTTATTTGCATGTCAAATATTTGAATTTTTGACAGTGATTTATTTCTCGCTGTATTTCTTCCAAGATTAGAATTTGTTGAATTCCCCCAATACACATATATATTCAGTTTCCTTGATATTTACTTCTAGCCCCCATATTCTTCGATAAGTTTACGAGTCATATATTCTATGTCTTCATAGTCTTGGGCCATCACTATCTGGTTGTCCGCAAAACTCAATGTGGAACTTTAATGGTTATGTATGATTAAATGTCTTTATAATGGAAAGATCCTTGACGATACATAGTATTTCTAATGCTTGCCGCTATCCTGATAAATACTCACTTCTCTAGAATTATACCATTCGAAAAATTAGGATAGTGAATAGTTTCGTTTATGTGTTTTTCATGTTACGAGATTTCGTAAGTTAAAGAATTTGTCGTTTTTTTCTAATGATTTCTAATTTCATTCATTCATTGTTTTTGTAATCAACTAGATTCTATATTCTTTATGCTTTAACTGATGCTATATATGTGAAGCATTTTTATACTGACTTCAGTAGTTTAGTATGTTTCAGATAGGGTCTCTCGGATCAGTGATGCTCATACATTGATCTCTACCGGAAGGTGTTGAACGCTAGAATACTGTGACATGTAATATATTTGGAATAAATTGCATTTCTTCATACATTATGTTTTATTGACAACCAGCATATTATATTTTTATAAATATCTTTTTGGAAAACAGTGTATTATTAATTTTACCAATATGATTAAGTAAAATACTGATATAAAATCTTCTCGAAATGAGTACAGCAATTGTCACATATGATAAACCCATATTTTTATCAATGGTCCGAATCTCCCTGTGTAAGAACTGCTCAATAGGTACTCATTTTTTGTATATAGTGTAAAGTTTTGTACTTATTTTTTATGTATTTAATAATAAACTCGACAATAATTACTATTGTAATGTATTTTTAAAACATACTACATTGTTGCTTATTTATAATATTGTTCCTGTATCATCCGTTGTAGTAGATTTTGTAATTTATAAATATAAGCAATAAATTTTATTTGTACAAACCTGGGTTTTTATTACTATCGTATGCAATCCACCCAACAGAAGATCTCCCGGCCAGAAGATTTTACACATGGCAATCTCCAGCAAACAACACCAAATTAACTCCTTTCTCATCTGCAAAAGATACCGAAATTCTATAAAATCAGTTAAAATGTACTTTGGAGCTGCTGTGATATCAGACTGTAAGGCCCGACGAAAATTGAGCACAGCCCACGCGTGGGTTATTTTGTAAACCGTGGTTTTAGACGGAGCGACGCATGTTAAACCCAAACCACGGACAAGGATCTAGGGATCCCACTGTAAATTTTTACCTTTACCATGCGAGATGCGCTATGCACCATTGCGCAGATGATTTTAAGATTTTGACATTTTTGTTTCTCGTAACCTAACATGTATATTTTACCGATTAAAAACGAAGATCAATGCTCATCATATTATAACCATTAAAAATAACCTTGGTCTATCCTCGGTCGTTTTCTTAGGTTGTTTAAAATTTTTGTTAGATATTTTGAGAACGATTTCAAAACGTCAAACTTTGGTTAAAATGTGATTTTCATTACAACCAATAAATTGTGGCTTAATCCCATATAATCATAATATCTAAATTAAGAGCGTTTCGGGCCAATGCTTTTTAAACGCATTCATTTTTTTCGAATCCTGAGAAAACTAATAAATATTTTTGAAAAATTTATACGCAGAATTAAAGTTTCTCGAGTGCATTTAAAAAGCATTGGACCGAAATTTTGCGCCTACGCTCATAAAAAAAAGTTTAATAAAGTTTCATTGTAAAAGATTTTGCTATTTAGTAGTGGGAATAAAATGCAAAGAAACACACAGAAAAACCAGTAGAATTAAGTACTCAATGTTTGTCAAAGAAAACAAGAGATAGACTTTTTGGAAGAGGAAAGAAAGAATTTTGGAAATTAAGATAATATATTATAAATGATATGAAGGATAAAATTTTCTTTTAAATTAAGAATTAGTTGTTTAATAAGTGTTTGAATAAGTTTTTTATTTATGAGATTTGCTAGTTACCATTTTAATCATAATTTTGATAAGACTACATAAATGAAAGATTATAACTGGTTAATTAAATATCTAGCTTAAATCTAGTAGTTGTCAAATAAATTGTCAATTTATTATTTCTTGAAGTCACAAAACAATTATCCATTTAATTTAATAATTTTAATATATTTGTTTGATAAAATTTATTATTGAGAAATTGTAATTTATATTTACCTAAATTTAGGAGGGTACATTACTTCCAACCAAGCCTCAGCCATATCTGACATGAACACTTTTGCTAGGTTTTTATATCCTATTTTTTCTTTGATACATTAAAAAAATTGAATAAAGCAGCATCTGACCGATTGAAAATGAGAAATGCACACGGATATCCTTCACATATATCATCCAATACAAGAAGGGTTTTAAAATCATAATATGTGTAATGGAGCATGGCGCAGCTCGCATGGTAAAGGTAAAAATTTAAGGTGGGATCCCTAGATCAAAGTAAACCACGGCCATGCTACTGCCAGACTTGGTTGGCGTGGATAGAGTTGTGCTAGCAACACAGTTTCGTGGGTCTCTACCATCGAGCAAAAAGACAAAAGAGGGAATGTAAAGGTAGTGGGGACAAAAATATTGTTAGACAGGAAGTGCGATCTTTAGAGGCCACATTAAACAAGGAAAGCGAGTCTCTCTCCTTCTTTGACATCAAATTTAGTTGGGTTATGTTATTGTTTGTCCCAAATGTCACATGAAATCTTATTTATATTGAAGTTTTTTAACAATTGTGTAGCATTTAAGACTATTAACGTTAATAATTAACGTATTATATTAACGAAAAATATTATATAGCTACTGTTAATAAGTGTTGGAAAATTTAAATTTGGCGCATTCGCATTTCCGGATATGTCCGCCATCAGAGGCCACTAGTCTGGTCTAGACTACAATATAAGGAGCTCCCTAACTTTCGCGTGATTGGTTGGTGGGTGGGTCCCAATTTAAAAATTGGCGGGTTTCATGTTTATTAAAATGACAATTGAGGTATAGTCATTGTGGCACAGTCTATGTGGGTAAACAATTTATTAGCAATATATTGTGGTATTGGTACACAGCGGATGATATTCACATTTTAGGATTAAGCTGAATAGTAAAGTTTTATTAGAAATTAAAAGCTAGTGATGCTTTTTTTATTATATATATATATATAGATATTATTGTTTTAATTTTTTTGTTTAGGTAATTTTTTACTAAGATTTAGAGGTTCCTTTTATTATTTTTATTTCTAGAACATTCATTACCATTATTATTCTCATTAGCTTTCTCTATGTGGAATCGGCTTCTCTAATCTTTGCTTATTGGCAAATTGGTATTAAAACCGCCTAATCATAGATGTTTAAGCGCCAAATGTGGCCAAACAACCGCCAAATTGTTTACCCACATAGACTGTGCCACAATGACAATACCTCAATTGTCATTTTAATAAACATGAAACCCGCCAATTTTTAAATTGGCACCCACCCACCAACCAATCACGCAAAAGTTAGGGAGCTCCTTATATTGTCGTCTAAATTACTTTAATTTAATTTTTTTTTGAATAATTATAACGGCGACTTACATCCGAGTTGCTTAGCACAAATAAAGAAAATATTAGTTTTGTTCTCATGTAATCTTTATTACTAGTATCATACAAGACACTAAAGCTTCGAACAATTTCAATAAACTTTTCGATTTTCACCGAATAACAAAAAATTGGTCACACAAAACAAAATAACTAAGGTTAGGTAGAGACCATCGAGCAAAAAGACAAAAGAGGGAATCTAATCCTTCTGAAAAGGAGACTAAAAAGACGACAATATAAGGAGCTCCCTAACTTTGACCAATTTTTTGTTATTCGGTGAAAATCGAAAAGTTTATTGAAATTGTTCGAAGCTTTAGTGTCTTGTATGATACTAGTAATAAAGATTACATGAGAACAAAACTAATATTTTCTTTATTTGTGCTAAGCAACTCGGATGTAAGTCGCCGTTATAATTATTCAAAAAAAATTAAATTAAAGTAATTTTTTATTAAATCAAATGAAAAAAAAAACAAATTTTCATTTCCTAGCAAAATGTTTATGAACACCTAAGATGAAAACTTCAAAATAAAATTTGATGGTACTTTTTCGTGATGCTCATATTGTAATGACTTTTATACACTGAAATTAAATTAAAAAAGAACTTGAAGAAAGTAGAAAAATAATACAAAATTCTCAAATTTAAATTTATCTCGAAAACAAATTACGATCTGGAATTTTTGAGCTCTTCTGTTGTTTATTACGTTATTTCACCAATACTCTGAAATGAAATACTCGTGGCGAGTATTTACTACTAATACTCCAGAGTGGTCGGCTTCAATCAGCATCTGACCCAGAGTGGGCGGCTGAATGGAAACTCACCAACTTGTTTTAGCAGGCGTGGTGTTTTAATCGCCAAAAAAACCCTCAATTAAATGTCAAGGTTCAGAACTAAAATACCCCAGGCAAGCAGAACGAATCGTTACTAGTATAAGTGCCCTAAAAAACTGTTTTCAAGTTATTATTTCAAGTTAGTAGGTACCAAAACTCCTTACTCCGGCAAGCTTGCCTCATCTTCACCACTTTTTTAGGCCACATTCTATATTTCACTTGTTATATCATCAGTATATGGTAGAATAAATAGGACTGTCTTAATAGAGAACAAACCAGAAAAACTACCAATTTACATATCACAGTATGAATAAAAAACATTGACCTAATTTATTTTTATTAGATACATATGATTAATTTCAATGAAAATCCTAAGACTATGTACACAAATAATACAAAACTAAGTAGTTTAATCCTAAATTAAGTATACAGCAATATTCACCAACATAGTAGGTGATCCAAATGAGTCAGTTTTTAAAGGATATAAATCAAATTTTTGGATATCTTTTTTGTATACAGAATCAGTAGACTTAGAGATTTGTAATTAATACACAAAGCTAAAAAATATACTTAAATATTTTGAAAAATTAAGCTTGCATCAGCTAAACAGTGCTTGACAATAGACAATGTGCTGCCTGTATACACGTGTTACCTAGAAAATGAAACGATCTTACAAAATCCATTGTCATTTCACTTTTTCTCATTTCAGTCTTCATCTTAAACATCCATTAAGAAGATTTGTCAGAAAATGTTAGAAACATAGAGAATGTAACAAAGCTATTCTAAATAATAAATAATTCTAAATAAAAAATTATGTACCTGTTTTGTTTTTTTTACGAAAAAGTTTCCTAACAAATCTTATTAATCCTTAAAGGTCCTCTAAATAAGTGGTTCTCAACCCGGTGGGCGCGCCCTCCTGGGAGGGCGTCAGAAAATTTCAGGGGAGGCGTGAGGGTACAAAGAAAAAAAATATATATATTTTGTTAAAAAACAAAATATTTTGTATTTCATTTAGAAATATTTCTTTACTTAAACATGATTAAAATCGTTTTACTCAAACACACCACCTAAGTTAAACATGACAGTCTTGTGCATGGCAATATCGTAGGAGTGCAAAGTATATTTACCAACACTGTATTGCAAGCACTCCTGGCTTCAGTCCAATGAATCCGTCTCACATGTCAGTCTCAGTCGACAGCGTCTGTGTGCTGTTTGTAGCAATCAGTGTAATTGTTATTTAATAACAGATTGATTGTTTGTGAATTATTTAATAGTGTTGTGTAACAGCTTTGAAAATGGCTAAGTCACTTCCAAAGGAAAGATTGTATTCAGACAATTATATCAAGTATGATTTTACCTTTATGGAGAAAAACGGCAGTCATTTACCTCAGTGTGTCAAATTCCATGCTGTTCTTAGTATCGCATCTAATTACAAACCATTCTTCTTTGAAAGGTAAAGGCCCAGAATTTTTTATTGCCAAAAAAAGCAGCCTAAAATGTATGAAACTTGACTCTACTGCAAATTTTCGTGTTGAAAATGAGAAAGCTATGGAAGCATCATACAAAATAGCACTTTTGATAGTTTGACATATTTTCTGCTCTTGAAGATTTTTTAGTAATCAATGAACTTCCATGGGAGAAAGTAATTGGCATATGTACTGATGGGGCCCAAGCCATGACAGAATGTCAATCCGGATTTATGGAATTGCCAAAAAAAAAGAACCCTAGGATAATTGGTTCTCACTGCATTATTCACAGACAAGCTATAGACAAGCTTGAGAACCGCTACTCTAGATGAAGACCTAAATGGGAAAAAGTGAAATGACAATGGATTTTGTAAGACTGGTTCATTTTCTAGGTAACATGTGTGCACAGGCAGCAAACTGTCTATTGTCAAGCGCTGTTTAGCCAATGCAAGACTTATTTGTATAACCGTATGAAATATAAAAAGATATTAATAATATAAACAAAGATTGCATTATACAAAAAACATGTATGATAAATAAAATGAAATATAACAGAAAATAAAAGAAGCTTCATATTAAGTTTTTTGTATTTTTAAATGTTTTTAAAAATAATAAAGGAATTTTATTACTTTAGGATTAGTTTTGTTGATTTAATCAAAATATAAGTTTAAACAAATCTGAAGTCAGTACTGATGCAATATACAACAAAGTGTATCTCATTTGAAACCTCTTGCTGTAGTTATACCACTGCAATATTTCCCAGATTTCTCAGTAATTTTTACAGTATTTGATGTACATCCTTATATAAAAACAATTTAAATACAATCTCCACAAAGGAGAAATTTATAAAATTCAGTCTCGGTCAGTTTTCATTCTCTTTACTGAAACCATCTCACTACCCTGCGAATTAGAATCTTCTGAAAATGTCATGTGAGACGAAGAGAAGTCTGTAGGCCCCTGGGAATCACTCACAGTTGAAAAACCTTAAACAAAATACATATAAATTTATTAATAAATATTTTTATCGCAAAATTTTTCTAATATTGAACTTAATAGCTCTGCAAAAACCATATTTTGAAAACAAGCAATTTTCACACTCAACATTGACTGTTAACCTTATGGAAATTTGCTTGTTTCTAAGAAAATAGGTGGTTGTAAAAGGCCTCCACCTTTTGTGACCTTTCCAAGGTTTTCAACTGTGTTTTACATGATATACCTACTTGAAGTTTGATACATGAAAAGTTGATTTATTATGGGTTGGATGATCCAAGTATGTTATGTACTTGACCAACAGAAAACAGGTAATAGAACAGAAGGCATACAATCAGAACAGGTGAAGTAGGGCTCAATATTAGGACCTTGTTTTTAATTTATATTAATGACTTGCCAGCTGCACTGGTTTTTAATTTACCAAATTATTAGGCAAAGCATTAAAAATTTGCATTTTTTTTAAATTAATAATTATTATCAACAGGAATGTTATTTTTTCGGATAGAAACATTTAATATAGTCTGGTAACATTATTGTAACATTTTAACCCTTTGGGTCATGCTTTTTTTAGTGCAATGAAAAATATTTTGTTAATAATTCCTACCAATCCTATAATGTTACATAAATATAACAGCGAAGGTAGTAAACTTACAAGTGTTGGAATCTTCGGCTAAACTAAAATTTGAATTTGAATTGGAGGTATCCAAAACAGTACTTTTCCTCATATTCTCCTTATTTTCCCTGTGTTTCATGGATTTTTTGGGTTCTGTCACTGGCACCCATTTATATATTTTCATTGTAGTATCTCCAATTGTTACCCATTTCTTCTCCCTTAAAGTTTATAATTGCAAATTGGGAGCCAAATCAGAAGAAAAATAAATCAAATTAAGAAAATCCCAACTCACCAATGTCGGACACGATCTATAACATTCATAACTTTTTTAATATCATCTTTCGCTCTGCTACGAGTCTCTGCACGAATAGATCGAGACATTTTGTTTTCTTTGATACCTAATATAGCCGAATATATACACAATATACTATTATTTATTAAAAATATGATGAAAATTACGCCTGATAAAATTTATTCCTCCATATTGGCACAACCAAAATAATTGAACTTATACTTATACAATACAATATACAATTCATATCGATTTTGTTTTAACATTTCGATTTTAGAATCGAAATTGCCACACTCAAATGCCACATTTATCCAATCAGCTGTGCTTAATAAAATATCGACAGACTCGAGATTAATACCTTCCCCCCATACACCACCCCCCCTCAAAATCTAACAAAAAAACACCTAACACTACATCAAAATCTAATTAAAAAAACCACAAACTACCACCATACTAAAACCACACATAAAAACCCCCACAAACCCAAACCAAACCACCACCACACTTAAACACAATATACTAATAACATAACCATAACCAACCCACACCCAAACCCCACAACCAACCCCCAAAACTATAACACACCTTAATACCTCCCCCAAAACAAATACCCCCCCCATAAATCACAAAAAAACAAACTATAATCCCCAACACAACAAAACCAACATAAAACTAAACATAACTCCAACATCAAACACAACCACAACAAACCTACCTACCATCCCAACAAATAACCAATTCAACCACAACCCCATAAACATATTCCACTCCTCCACCCAAAAATCCCCAACCCCACCATACCAAACATACACCCCCCATATAATCTACTCTATCTACATATATTAAACATCAATACACTCTTTTATGGTAACCATCATAACCAGAAAAACAATCCCTATACCACATCTAATCTATAAAAACAATTAACCCTACCACATAACGCTATGTAAAACAAAAACTTATTAAACTACTTATCATTTTTTCACAATCATGCTACCATTATACCCTTTCAAGTCAAATTTATCTTCAAACTGTACAACACATGTACACATTTAATGAACAATTGTAAAAGATTTTGAGTATCAGATGCAAGCACCGTTTTTACTGTATAGGAATTCAAAAAGTAAAATATTCGGAATTTGGTTTTTTAATAGAGAGGAGTGTATTCGTATTACCGTTTTAGTAGAATCTATCATGAAAGGTCTAAAAGACACTGGTGATGAGAAATCGAAAAAGAAAGGAAATAATGTTGATATATTTAGTATGTTAAGTAAAGCTCAAGAAGATTTTAATAGAACTCCAACCAAACAAGACGCAGTTCCAACATTTTCTTCAACTCCTAGGGTTCCTGATGTTACATCTCAAAGTGTTATGGACTTTTTTGCAAAAGCTAGTACAAATACAGGTCAGAAACCGGTTAATACAGAAGAAAATGTATTGCAGGTAATTAAAATAAATACAACTGTTTTTAATTTTAAAGGTAGGCCCATAATGTTATGGCCCATATGGCAACTTGTAGTAAGTTATCATTTAGATTTATTAAGAATGAACATGTTATACAGTGTTGTTAACTCCAAAACTGAATATTTCCGTAGAGGGCGCTTCAAAAATCCGTAGAAATCCGTAGAACAGAAACATAGCAATTTGTATGTATGTCTCAGCCACAATGCCCACAATATGACGAACGACTATGCAACACTGACTGCATACATTGAGGGATCAATTCAATTGAAAATTTAAATGGAAAAAAATGTATGCTACATGACTCGAGGTGTAGGGTGTTTCAATAATTTACTAAGTACATACTTGTTTATGCAACAAATTTATTTGACAAAATATATCTTAAACAGAAACATTCATGTTCCAAAAAAATTAAAAAACTAGATATAAAAAATATACAGAAAAATATAGTAAATAAAAAATATACAGAAAAAACAAATACCTATCTAACCGAATAAAAGCAACAATTCATCTATTAAGCCTTATCCTCTTCCTCGGATGATGACAATACTTTTTTATGATCGTATAAAATTTTAATTTCCATATTAATAATGACATTTTTATCTATTGTTTAAATAAAACATGTTTTGTCTGCATCGTTAAAGTAGATCTCGTATTTATGTTAGGGCGGGGAGTCCCCAAGGTAAATCTCAGCATTCCATCTGAGATCACTGTTATTCCCCTAAGCGACGGGGATTCACCTGTTACGAAAATTGAAATTCATCCCTACTCCTACTATTACACTACAAGTAGAGTTCTTTTTCACGGCATTACAGAGAACGAGGACTAGATGTCAATTAATTATTTTATTTCTGTAAAAAGCTAAGAGTAAAAATTCTATTTTTATAAAAAGCTAAGAGTAAAAAATCCCAATTTTATTCTTGATTGCTTCAGCTGAAAAATCCGTAGAAATGTGATCGATATCCGAAAATCCTAAATAATTTCGAAAATCCGTAGATCTACAGATAAATCCGTAGAGTTAACAACACTGATGTTATACAATGTTCACTGGTCATCATCCCAACTGTCTAGTAAATATAGTAATTCAATATTTGCTATGTTGGTCAAAGTTTTACTTCACATGCGACTGAAAAGTAGCTGCTAATACGGACACTGGCCCTTACATAAACAAAAAGTTTCTTTTGAATGAGCTAATTGAAATTATAAAATCATACTTAATTTTTTGCTTTTTCATATACCCGTGTAACTACAAAGAACATCTAATAAAGACCTAACAAATCTTCTCCTTAACATTCCACTAACACTTATCACAACAAATAACAAAAAACCTAATAAACACCTCAACCCACCTTCATCAAACCCCATTCACATCCTTCCCAAAATCAACCCCACAACCTACCAAACCTAACCTAAAAAACAATATACATATACCAAAAATAACCCAAAAAACAAAAATCCAATCAAAATTTAATACTACAACCAAACAACCAATTACACTACTTCCCACAACAACAAAAATAAATATACCCAACCAACCCAATCACATATCCAACCACACTTTTAACCAATAAAAATTATTAATTTTAAACAAAACCACCACATATAACCTAAATTCAACATAAATATTATAACATCCCATTTCACCAAATTCACTAACAAACCCTATAAAAACACAAATACAAAACACCTCACACTTATCTAACACCCAATCAAACAAACCCCACATTACATATAACCCCCCTACATACACCACCAACTCACTATACATTATATAATCATTCACCCACAACCCTCATAATATCAACTTGATCCTACTCATCTCCCTTTAAAACAACCCATAAATCCCTTTTTAAAATCGTGACATTTTTCACATATACAACACCCCATTCCAAATTAATAACAATCCACTAATCCCCCCAAAAAAATAAACCATCCTTACCACACACACCCTCATCATATCTCCACATATCAAACATTAATACACAACCACAAACCCACCTAACCTATATCCCCATACTAACCAATATTCACATAAAAACCTAAACATTACAAATACATAAAATAAAAACAAATTTAAATCTTTCACACACCCAACAATACCACACATACCCAAAACAAAACCATAGGTATCAAACACCACACACAAAAATAAACCACTACAACATACTCTAAAAACAAAAAACTATATTCTTTACTAAAACCATCCAATCATTATTACCAAATATACAAAATCCTATGTCAAAAAACCTCATAAATTTTAAAATTTCCATCACAAATAGAAATCTCTAATTTTATCGAAGAAGTGTACCTATCCTCAATTCGAATTCCTGTACAAAAAAAATTGGTTCAGAAAATGGTTTTCAACTACACAATTCCCTCAAAAGCCAATCTTTGATACAAAGCACATCTCCACTTGCTTATTTATTGCAACAAAATAATTTAGGGCAGCCAGAAAAAGAAGAATCTCATGATTTGTTGAGTTCCTCGCCATTTTAAGACAGGTACAGGGATATTTCCATTACTAATTAATAAGAATATAAGACATAATAGAAAAACGCTCGCGCGCAGCTCTCGCGCGCACTCTCACCTGCTAATGTTTAAGAAAAAATTTCACGTTAACCCATTTCTCTCTTCACTTTCTTTCTTTGAAATCTTTCAATTGGTCTAGATTTTCTTCATTTGTTATTTCACTGTTTCAAAGAAGAGTGTGGATATCTGTCACTACTGAGTAAAGTATGACTTAAATATTTGAACTGTTAATGGTGGTTATCAGTTTCTCATTCGTTTTCGGTAGATATGTTTCATAACAAATATCCTTAAAAATGGTTTCTGTCATAAAAATTGTTAATAATTGTTGTCTCTATTAAAACTTGTAAATGAAACGAACCAGTTGAGTATATAGTTAAGACTAACATTATTCTGTTCCTAAAGAGAATACAATTTACAGTTTACATTGTACCAACCTTAACTTACAGTAAATGACATATGTCGCTAATATTTAAATTTTGTTTAGTTGATATTAATATTTTAACGCCCCACTTGTCAATAAAATCAAATTTATAGGTTACCTATACCTAACAGTTTCAATAATTTGTGCAGCTTTTCAATTAAGTTTAAATACATCATATCAATTCAGCATATCCAGTAAATGATCTATGATCTAATGTATTGCTTGCCCAATCAGCATCTACAAAACCTTGTAATTCGTTATCATCTTTTGAGTACATCAGAGAATAGTTAATAGTATCTTTAAAATACCTCAATACTGTTTTTGCACATTTCCAATGAAACTCATTATCTACATTGTTAAATTGGCTCAAGAAAGAACTTTATCTCTAATACAATGTTACTATCATCCATTTTTAAAGATAACTTTAACTCCTTTGGCATCATTCATGTTAAATTTCTTTAATTCGCTCCGTGGGTCTCCCCTCTATTTACAGTCACGTGACACACTCTCAGATTTGTGAGGACATTTTAGTATTGAGTCTTATGGGATTATTTTGTTAAACTTAAATGTTTTATTTTGTAGTGTTAATATCCGGATACAATTTTTAGAATTAATTAGTTATTTATTTATAGTGACATTTATCTTTCAACAAAAATATTTTTTGTTGTTAATAAAGATTTATTAACATAATCTGCGAAAGTGAGGATATATATACATGATCAACATCCATGGTATAATGAATATGTTCATTGACACTTTGTTAACCCTTGGAGCGAATAACTAAATTAAATAGTTTTTCTGATTCAAGCAAAAAAACCTTTATTTGAATCAAGCTCTATTTGGATACCTAAACATTCCTTAACCCTACCCAAATCTTTAATAACAAATTTACTTTTCAGCTCATTTTTTAGTCTACTTGTTTCACTTTCATCATTTGAAAACACAAAAAATTATCTACATATACTGCTACCACTGAAAGTTTATAATTTTCTCTTTTTGGTTGAGTTTACCGAAAGTGCAAGCTGAATTTAGCCGCAAATGTCAAAAATATTTCAACTTGGCAGTGTTGGCATGTTTTTATAATTGCATATATTGTATGCTTCAAATATAAAGAGATAAAGCTTTTAAAAAGTACATTTTGATTATACTATTTTATGAATTCTGCAATTTTTAATTTATATGAAGCAGTAATGAGTAGATATTTGTCTCTTTCGAGATTAATTGCAGACATATGTTGTAATTCGCGATTGAAACTGAATGTAGAGGCAGTGTTATGGCCGATATAAAAGGTATAAGCAAACATAACAGTCGAATGTTTACCATTGCTTTTCCATGTTTAGTTTGGTTTAAGACGAGTTATTTATATCATTTAAAAATGGAAATTAGCCTTAATGATATCTTTGAGCATTGTGGTGAAGCAAAGATTCCATTGGTTAAAGGGGAAGCAGTTTTCAAGTGATGAATTCCTAAATTTTAACTTTAATGTTTTGAACTGGCTTGTGTATTGATGATGATGAATCCTATTTTGTGTATACCTGGAAACCCAGAATATAATTTTCTGTGTAATATTTGTCTTAACTAATATATGCATTATTTTATATTATGCCTTATGTTTTTAATATGTTAATTTGTATTTTATACTATTTTTTGACATATGTAAGTACTTTATTGTATATTAACTAATAAATAAATAAATAAATAACTTTAACTTGACTTTATTGTAAGATAGTTCATTTGATTACATGCAATCAACCTTAACATAAGATCACCTGTTAGAAAATACCATAGCACATGATTTGTCTTTAACAAGATTCTAATTTGATTTAAAATACTTTAACATAGTCATAATACTGAAATTTACAAAAAAAAAATAATTCTATTTAAATCAACGCTGTCTGGTTTGTTTATACCACTTTTAGTAGTTTAAATTTATTCCGCCAGAGGTCAGATACTTTGTTTTCAATCGCGAATATAGCAACTGCTGATTTGACAATTGCCAAATCTATGCCCTAATCTACCAAAGGGTAATTGCTAAAAAAATTTTTATCATTAACTGCAATTTATCTCCAAAGAAACAAATATTTACTCATTGTTGTTTTATATAAATCAAAAATTGCATAATGCATAACATAATATAAACAAAATGTACTTTTCTAAAGCTTTATATTTTTATATTTGAATCATACAGCATCTACATTATAAAAACATGCCAACACTGCTATACCGAAATTTTTTGTTCCATGTTTGACATTTGTCGCTATAATCAGCTTGTACTTTCAGTAAACTCAACCCTCTTTTTATATAGATACAAGGTTCATGTTTTGATTTCTTATAATTAATATTTTCCAAAACATTATTTACTTAATAATTTCATCCCCAGAAGACTGTTTAAGTCCATAAATAACCTTATTTAATGTTAAACATTTATTACCTGCTAAATCAAAACCCTTTGGTGGTTGGATGTATATTTTCTCTTTCACATGACCATTTAGAAATGCTGATTTAACATTTAAATGAGTAATATCCAAACCTAATTTTATAGAAAGTGAAAAAAGCAACCTCAAAGAAGAATGTCTTATTACTGGCGCAAAAGTTTTTGTATAGTCTATATTATTAAAACTATCTATTATACTAAAGTATAATAGTTTTCACTATTATACTTTAATTTAAACACCCACTTATTATCAATTACACTACTATTTTCTGGCACATCTACCACATCTCATGCATTGTTGTCACAGAAAGATTTGATTTCATCCATCATGGCTTCCCTCCAGTTTGTCCTATCAGGATGTTGTAACGCCTCTGAGCCTTCACCAAAGTCTTTTTCTTACTAGTTCTAACTTTCTGTGTACCTCTTGTAATGTTTCAGGTAAATTAGTCATTTCAAATTCTTTATCACTTAAGTTACTTCCTCATAGTAGCTAGATTTTTGTCACTAAAAAATGTTACCATTATATTTAGTCTCACTTTCAACAATATCTTTGTTTTGCTTCCCCACTGAGTCTAGAGTTTCTTTTGTATCAGGTTCATCTTTTAAATCAAAATGAATCACTTAAAACTTTTTTGTGTCTTCCATAATTTGTATATTTCTACTTACTATAATTTTGTTGGTAGTTGGATTATACACCCTGTATCCTGTATTTTCAGCATACCCTACTAAAACACGCAAAATCGCCTTTTTCACCTACTTTGACCTTTTTTCTTTTCAAATAATTACTGTGTACATTTCAAATAATTACTATTCAGGAGTGTAGGGATTGGTTCTTTGATGTGTAATACCATTTACACTTAAATATCTTTCAAATTATTTTGAACAAAATTCTCTATCATTGTCACTTCACAGAGTTTTTATATAAACACCCTTCTGGTTTTCGGCCATTCTTAAAACAACTAAAATCTTCACTTTTGTTTTAATAAAATAAATGAAGCCCATTTTACTACAATCGTCTTGGAAAGTAACAACATATTTGGAACGACCTAATGATCTGTTCTCCATATGTCCACATACACATCAGTGTGTACAATCTTCAATAAACTATTGGCCCCATATTTTTTTTAAAGTATCTATTGAGAAAACCTGCACTAAACACATAGATTTCGGATGTTTTCAACTTCAGAGATTTATTTTTATAGTGACTGGTTTGTCTACAATGATAAGATCTGATTTTCGACAGATCTCTGTCTCTCTTGTCATTTACGCTACTACTTGCAAACACACTAGTGTTAACAGCATCCACTCTCCATGTCTAAAAGTTTTGTTTTGATCGAATTGGTAGAAATAACAATTCCCGAATGTTCGATCGCCATTATCATTGATGAAAATTTTTTTCATGTACTCTGAGTCATTAAAACACCAAAAACCCTCTACCCCCAAAACACTCTAAAAACCAATAAACCAAATAAAAAACACCCTCATTCACCATCCCCCCACACCCACATCAAATAAACAACAATAATACACCTACTTAAAACTAAAATACCACCCCCCTTATTCCCCCCCAACACTCCCCCCTCACCAAAATCCCAATCTCCCTCCCCCCCCCCCCCACTACCAAAACCTTTTCCACCCCCAAATTCCCCCCATCCCCACTTACCAAACCATACCCAACAATCCCCCCAACCCCCACCCTACCCCTCCCCCCAAATACCACACAAATACTACCCACACAACCCCCACCTTCACCCCAATTACTCTCTAACCCCACCCCATAAACAAAAACCCCCATTAACAACTAATAACTCACCAACCACTAGACACCCTCTACAACCCAATCCCTATATACACAATTATAACCAACTACAACAAACTTTACACATTACATACACATTCGCGCTTAACCCAATTAATAAATATTTGTATTAGTTTATTTTACACAACTATACCCATTTGAATATAACAAAAATTCCAACACACACATATTCTTATAAATAATTCTCGTTATTTATAATCATTAATTTGTACATAAAAACCACAACATTTTATTACTAATTAACCATACATTAAACAATTTTAGATGACCTTGCTGTATTTCTTGTTTCTAACTGTTAACTTTGCAATGAGTCTAAGTAATAATTTTAAAATATTCTAAGAAATACATGATATAAAATTGAGTGGACCAAAACTTATATGATTGCAAAATGATTTTAGATTTATTATAAATAGGAAGATAAAGTGAGTTGTGTGTGTTTGTTTTTTATACGCTTCACGGCAAAAAATCATATAGATTATTCACAATAAAAATTACAATAGCAAATAAATCATGAATATAATGTCATGGTAAATTCCATAACTATAAATAACATTATCATAATAAAAAAGATTTGATAACGTCTTGCCAATGCAGTAATTTCTTGATCAAAATAATATCAACAGTTTGGTGTTTGTGTGGAATTTTATTAAATGACAAACTAGTTTTCATCATTTTATGCAAAAATAAATAATGGGTTGTAAGTCTAAAGGGTCAAGTGCCAATATTACTATTTAGAGATCTAACAAAAAACGTAATAATTTAAGGAAGCGATGCTAAATAAATCTTCATTATTTTTAAAAATACTTAAGGTTGATCTGCACCCTCAAAAGACAAACTACACGTTCAAAAAATTTGAAAAAAATTAAGGTTTATGTGGCAACTAGAAGTATTTTGACAAATTTTGAGCAAACTTCATGTTTTCGTTTTCGAAAAAAATCTAAAAAAACTACTTTTTCCAAGTATAAAGCGGGAAAACAGACATACAATTTTCTTACAGCGTAAAGATATAACCCTAAGAATTTTTTGAAAATTTTTGAATGTACAGTTTTGTCACAATAGAAAAATTATATGTTCCGGCTTATAATAAAGCTATCTTAAAGGTAAGACAACCCACGTAAAAAAAAATGCAACCCCAACTCAACCCCCCATAACCCTATACCCAAACTGTAAAAGTGGAAACACAAATGCAATAAAACATTGAAACCTCCTTTTCCGAATCCACTACACAAAGACCCGTCCAAAAACAACCCCCGCCTCCCACCCACCCCAAACCGCCCTCATCTCAAATTGCACCGAGAGCGCTGGCTCCTATCTACTCAAACGAGAGAACCACTAAATCAATCCAACGATAGACTTGCCTTACTTTCGGCCTCGAAACGCTCTACACGCGAATCGACATACAAACAGGTAATGCAACATATAAACAAATATTGCACACACAAATTCTAATCCAACTTTGGCAGATAACTCAAGAGTTAATAAGACACATCATTTGACATCGAAATAATCATGCGCAATGCATGCACCTTACCCCTCAGAACTTAGTAATACACAATATGACACTCATACCATCCACCACAGTAACAATCATCAATCAACCACCCGTAATTCGAATAATTCAAAAGACGAACCACATCAGGATTGAACTAAGGTAGGAATCCTATTTCTTATCCTATAGATGTACGCCGATTAGGTGACCCGAAGTACAGGTGCCACCTGTCACTTAGGATCCTTTTTACATATAAGGATAAGATTTTCCATTATAGATCCGTTTTTTATTAGTTTTGCTAGATTCACAGAAACCCCATCTGATGACTCCTATGATGTTCACAACCCCAAAACCCAAAGACAATTTGGACAGCTCAACAACCGATGCAGACCAGATTGATTTACTCACGGAAAAACAATTAGCCCAAGCCCTTATTTATCTTTTAAAAAACAACGCCGATTTCACTAAACAAATTCACGAAGCTTATGTAAAGTCAATAATGGAAAAAGTTAATCTTAGTACAAGTAAATCTTTTATATAAAGTATTAGTGTTAATTTAGGAAGATCTTACTTGAAAAACATTATTCAACAATGACAACGGAACAGGCTTTTTTAATTTGTACGTACTTATTGACAACTGAAATCCTGGAATTTTATTGTACTTGATTTTGTGATTATATCAATTTACAAGTTTTTTTTTTGTATTGCTTTATACTTTGATTGAGCGGGTTTTTAATGCATCTCGACCAAAGTTAAATATAAAGATTTTTCATTTATTTAGCTATATTTCAAATAGAAAGAAATTCTCAAATAATTAGTCTAAAAGACACATTAATTAAATATCAGATCCTTGTTTATGGTACTATTACCGTCTTAGAATGCTAAAAAAATGACTGATTGGTGAAAAAATGGTGAGTTTTTAACAAACCTAGACGATAATATTACCATATGTCAGGTCTTCAGACTTCTAAACAAAACATAAGCCCCCTGTTGACCAATAATAAAATTGAGCTAAGTACCATTAAGTTGATTTGTCTTTTTTATAACAAGTTTCGATTTATTTATCTCCATTTCCATTTTTTTTACCAATGGTTCTAATTATATCTTTGCGCTGTAATTACAAAATTCGGGAAACGGCTTTTTAAAAAATATTTTATAATAAAATTAAATTTTTTTTTTTGGAACAGTTACTTTCAAATACAGTAACAACTATAAACTAAAAAACTCTGAATACTATCAAACAGCGGTATATATACTCTTCTCTATACTTTGTAAGCGTATTGGATAATCCAGGGTCGTAACTCATCCTCCCGAAAGACGCATATCATTGGTTGTGATGCGCTTCTTACATAATAAATCCTTAAACTTCTTATATTATCTTCTTGTGTTCTTTGACGAACATTCTTACAATATTTTGTTGAATCATATACAAATTGTTATATATTTATATACAGGGTGTCCCATAATTAATTGGACATTAGGTAATGGGTGATAGCTGACATCAAAATAAAACGTTTAAGCTCAAATCGCTTAAGCAAAATGTTGCTAGTTTTCATTCTATAAGGTGATTCACATAAAATAATTTTGTATATTATTTTTAGGGATATATTTCGAAAACGATGTACTTTTTAAATTTGAAACAAGAATACCTTTTTTGTGTGCAATTGTATATATTTGTATGTATAATAGAATGTTTTTTTCCTAGAATGTTTATACAGGGCGGACAAGAAAATTATGGCCACATTAATGAACCAATGTTATAGTAGGTGGCGCCACCTAGTGTCAATGGTAAAACTAATATCATTTTCATATTAAGCATACCAAATAATAGCAAAATACCAAATTTCACGTAAATCGGTTGAATAGTTTTCAATATATCCCTAAAAATAATATAAAATTTTTTTATTGAATCACCCTGTAGAACGAAAACTAGCAACATTTTGCCTAAGAAATTTGAGCTCAAACGCTTTATTTTGATGTTAGTTATCACCCTTTAGCTAATGTCCAATTAATTATGGGACACCCTTATGTTCTATAGTCTTCCGCATCCTTTCCCGATTATAACTCTCGTTTTACCATAATGTCATCGTAGTTTCTGTCACTACAATGTGACCATACCCTAAGAACTAAGGGTTTTATGGATTAAGGAACACTTAGATAGAGACATGTTGTTTCCGGAATATTTGCATAGAGAGCATAAGAATTGACGACGTCTGAGAAAAAAGCTTTGTATATTCACATGACGATTTTTCTTTTGAGCTGTGTAATACACTGTTTTCCATTTCTATAGTGCGTATGTTGCAGTGGCCTGTTTTTTTTTAATTTTGTATATTTTCTTAAAGCTAGTACCATTCGCTTACAATGTGTTTTCTGATCAAATAGTATTCTAGTTTTCCTTTGGTGGCAACAGATGAAGAACAATAACTGAACATTTCAAAAGTGGCAATGAACGAGCCTCTCATACACCTATGCCATAGTAACTTAAACTTGGACATACAATTTGAAATTTGGTAGGTTCTGGGTCGTGTATAGTCTAGCAAACAAAAAATGAAATAATTCAAAATTACGCGTCGTAACTGGTGAAAAATAGCCGAAATCATGTGTCAATCATGAATTCTCGGAAATTTTGAATTCGATCATTGGCGGCGCGTAATATTGATTCTTCTGGTCACTTTATATTGTAACAATAGAATATTATATTTCTGCTTATAATAATAAAGATAAATAATTAGATCTAGTTTATAAGTTTATTCTTTTTTTTTTTCAATTATTTGGTAACAATTTTATATTTTACTTATAGGGGTTGAAAGGCGGGATTGAACAATTACTGGTATTGGGGATAGGGTAAGCAAATAAATTGAAATGTTTGCGAACGGCTACTCGTGTTTTGGTTGGAGAGCTGAGTTGTGGATAAGGATTCCTTTATTTGGGGAGGACGGGAGGAACTACAAAAAAGAAATAAAAAAAATACTTACAGAAATGTCCTGGGCAACACTACACAAGAAGATTCCTAAACTATTTCAACTAGGAAGCCGTTTAGAAAAATCCTCTTTTTTATTTAGAAAGAAAAGTTTTTCTCTCCTAAAAAATATCAAGGGTGAATAACTTTAAAAGATATAATTTCAAACTCCTGGTTTAAAGAGAAACATTACATATTGATTTTAACTTAATTTAAAAGAAAACTAAAATATAACAATTAGCTGATCCATAAAACTTATATTGATTCATAAACCTTTTAATTTGTCATGAAATCAAATCTTAGTATATTAACGAAAATATTAATATTATTCTTTTAAATTATTGAAAAAGTTTGTTACCTTGGAATTGGATACAAAAAACACTGTCCCACTCAAACTTCAACGACCTGGATTCGACCCATGGAAGCTGGACAAATCTTCGGAGAGGTGAAACATCGAACTGAGCTTCAGGTTATCCTGGATGATAACAATATGTATCTTTCAAAACTCGGCGGCTTAATTTTCAACTAAAACCATATAGACCTCACTTAGCCCTCAAAACGCTGTTATATTCCTTATACGGAATACAGCATCCACCAAACCGGTGATTAACTAACTCATTATACAAAGACTACCAAATAGCATTTTGAGTATTAAATCGCCTTCTTTTAACCAAAACTTATCGAGTTAAGCGAAAACTTGCCGGATTTGGCACTGGTGGCATTTTTAAAATGTATGAGAATACAAATCATTTATACAAATACGACGAGTTACACGAACTCAAACTAAATACCCTTTTCATTTTCTTCAAATATTTGTTAACTTACTAATATTTCACTAATCATATTTCTGCAATGACGATATATTATCTTTGCCTTTGTATTCCTAATTAGAAAGACTTCACAATACCGCCGATGCGCCAACTACTTCAATCTCGTTCCTTATTACACGTCTCTCATTTCAGAACTTTGCGATTGAGACGAGATATATCCCGTTTTAGCGATCAAGAACTACAGACATAGAATTAGACCGAAATTACGGTCACAGTATATTTTGTTATTATTCACAGGTCGTGATTTTTATTTTCTAATCACAGCTGTTAAAATCACAGGCAGTGATATTTAGCCCACCTCTAATCTCATCACCCAAAATCATTCTCTTGTCAGCATACATTTTCCCACCATCCGAAGTGGAAAGATTCATTTACTTCCAGCGTAAATATCTAGGCGGAAACAATATCAAAAGATCAATCTGTCGGTGTTTTATTATACACGGGGTGAAATGAAAATACTACGATAATAGTCTATCAATAGAAAGAGTACTAACAACCGCATATGTACATACAGACCAAACTTTGTTTGGTCTGTGTGTACATAATGTCTTCTAAAAGGCGAGAAAATTTTTACCAGAAACTGAACAAAAGCAACTGTCCAAATCTTTCACTTACTTCATTTACTCTGTTGATTAGTTGCTGTAAACTGTTTAAACTGTCTGCAAAAATAACGGTGTCATCTGCATAGCGGATGTTGTTTAGGCGTTCTCCATTTAAAAGGATTCCATGTTCGCAATTTTCCAAGGCTTTACTAAATATTTCCTCTGAATATAGGTTGAATAATATAGGTGAAAGTATACATCATTGTCTAACGCCTCGCAGAATCTGGATCGCTTCCGTCAGTTCATCTCCAAGATTTGTTCTTATTGTGGCTGATTGGTTCCAGTATAAATTTTTTATTATACGCCGGTTTTTATCATCTATTTGGGCTTTTGTTAGAACATCCATCATTTTTCGGTGTTGAACTGTGTCCAATGCTTTTTGGTAGTCCACAAAGCAGGAGTAGATATTACATCTTTGGAATAATACCTGTAGACTACCTCGCCTTTCATGAATCCAAACTGTGTGTCTTGTATTCTCTTTTCGCATAGCTTATATATTCTACGATGTACAATTTTAAGAAAAAGTTTTAATGTATGGCTCATTAGACTTATTAACCTATATTCTCCGCACTTTTTCGCTCCCTGTTTCTTTGGTAGTCAACACTACCGCACAACTGTTTATGAACCCTTCACCACAGAAGAAGTCTCTAATATCATCAAAGAGCTTCATAACTGGAAATCTCCTGGACCAGACGGAGTTCAAAACTTCTGGCTTAAGAAGTTCTGGAGTGCTCATGAGTGCCTGTCAACATTAATCAATCGTGTTATTTCTAATCCGCAGGAAATACCATCATTCCTAACTCAGAGAACAACTTATTTAATACCGAAGGACAAAATAATACCCAAGATCCAGCCAAGTACCGCCCAATTACGTGTCTTCCAACTCTGTATAAATTGGTATATAATAAATTCTGAAACTAGCCAATCTTTTGGAATATTGACTGTGTTCCAGACTAATAAAAATGATCCAACATAATATCGTGTAGATAAATACACTAAAAACGTATTTGAATAAAATAAACTAATGCAATGGTACTTAGCTCAATTCAGTGTTTGCCAAATTGGCGATCTTAACCCGAATCGTCAATTATAGTGCTATTTACATAGCTTAATCTTCGAGTTTTTAAGTTCTTTATGTGAATTTATTTCG